ACCAGACCATCGGGTGCTTTAACCCAGTGCTGTGTCAGCCCCTCAAGAATCAGAGCACAACCACAACCCTCCTGCAGCCCAGATTCTTACACAAGGGTAACAAGGCACATTTTAAATAATTATTAAATAATGACAAGCTATATTACCTCCAGAGAATTGTTTATCTCTGCAAATTGGATCACTGGAGTCAAAGAACAGTAGAGCTAAAATACTTCCAGCACTAAATGGAAGATCTATTGCTGCACCTTCCTTTGGTCCTTGGAAACTGTGAATCCTGCATGGCAGTCAAATATAGTTTATGACAAATATCCTGCTGAATCCAGCTTTTATTATTCAAGCAACAATCAAAACAGCCTGCCCTATCCATCAAATGTAGGCATTGCTGCAATTAAACTGGGGAAATGGTTTTCCTTTTAAAGCTTGGTTGGTCAGACACTGAGAAGACCTAAATAACACATAATTTAAGAAAGGAGCAGAACAGTTTGTGTTTGGTAGAAGTCATACAGTAGAACACAAGGAATTTTTCACTGAACATGAGGAAAACAAGGCTATGGGCACAAATAGAGCCTTTGTATCATTTAACCTTCATATCACGTTAACCATCTTCTAGGGCATCACAGGGAGTCACTAAACATTTTCAGAAGTTGAGAAAGGACCTAAGCTGAAAAAAGTGCTTTACCTCAATTCTTATGGGAACAGTTGGAGCAAATGCTGGATTTGGTGTGTAAACATCCTCCCCCACGGGAACAGAATGTCTGATGGGTTCTATACTAAAGCAAATGGCACCAGCTTTGGCACTAAAATATGTTTGCTCTGTACCAACTCTCCCTTCAACACCTCCATTGACAAAACAGGTTCTGTGGAGCTTTTCACTATTAAACTATATTTCAAAAGCCTTAACTTTAAATTTTTGAATTATTACTCAATTATTTTTAGGTCAGTTTAGCAAATTCCTTCTACAGAAATCAGAAAAATATCCAGAGAAGTTAATGCCTTTCTAACATGTAATTATCATGTCCTTGGGTGCCACCTAAACCAAGGCAAAAAAATTCAGCAGCACAGTATCAAATTAAAACTGCTCTGGTTATACTGAAAAATTTGCATTTCATTTGCATCTTTAGGATGCAAATTAGCAAATAGGAAAATCTTGCAGTGTGTCCTTGAACACAATTCAGGCCAAAAATACCCAAGGCAAACTAGATGTGATGACCAGGATGATCAGAAAACGATCCTGTTCCTCTGCCAGGTGGGTCATCCCTTCAGTCTTGGCTGGATGTTCCTAAGAGAAGGCAGGAACAGCCCCTCAGGCAGGAGAACATCAGCTCTGGACATGCCAGAGCTTCTTGTGTCCTATGGAGTGGAGACCCAACCAGAGTCCTTCTGCAGGCTCCAGGATGGAAACTTCTCCAAACAGCATCCAGCAAACTCAGGGGACCCAGAGAGTCAAACTCCACATGAACCCATCATATTCCAGCTCTTCCCTTTGTTTCCTCTACACCAGGAGAGAAAGGCATCTCACAGCTGGAAACAGATCCCTGAAAAATGCTCCATGAACATCTTTTTCTTCATGTTTCTAAGTCCTCACTGTGTATATTAAATAAATCCAGATCTGAAAGTGCTGGTTACTTGGCTATTGAGAGTGAATCTTCTGTCAGGTGCTTCTCCTTTAGTGAAGCCACCTTGACATTTTTTTTAAGTCCTCCAGTATTAGCAGCTCTACAGCTACTGAGACAGGGAGAGAACAGATGTAAATCCAAACGATGTTGAAAGACAAAATATATAAAAATGCTACTGCTGCCTATTGAGACTGTACATATTTTTGATTTATATTTTTAAATATTTCACCAGAAAAAATGTTACACTGCACACTCCATGTTCTTTGGAACATTAATATACCAATGTGAATCAACATTAGGAAACACACTGGTTGTTTCTAGTTACCCAATGCATTAGACAGTTACTGCACATGAACAGATTCTTTTCAGAGGATGATAAATGCCAAGATTTCAAAGCAGCTTAATGATGTCTCTGGTATCAGATAACAAGAAACTCCCTCAATGCCACTAAGCTGGACTTTGTTAATTACAGCAGCTGATCTTACAACTGGCATATTTAACTGAAATAATGACGGTAAATCCCATTTGTCAGCCTGGATTCACCCTGCACCCATGTTTGGCTGCCTCTGCTGTGGGCTCAGGGCTCTCACCTGCGTGTACAATCAGCCACACTACCCAACTCCAGAGAGCCAGTCCAGAGGAGTAAGATTTCCAGCCCTGTCTCCTCACTTGGACACTCCAGAGAAGACAACTCCGTGCAAAATGCTCTGCAACAACTGTATTTGGGTCCAACACACAGTGACTCTGTGTGAACACTCTTTGGGAGCTGCACAATACACACTCATCTGCCAGTCATCTCTCCCTGGATTTGTGCCTCCACCCCCAGTTTGCACAGAGATCACATAACAGGTAAATATTTATGAAGTATTTGTGGGAGCTGTAACCACTTTTATGTAACTCTCACAGGAGATCTGTCATGTTGGTTCATTAAATACATTCTGGGGCTGAGGAAAAACATTTCTTCAGCTTTTGTGTATCCAGTACAAGCCCAGGGAAGTCAGACAGCTGCTTTCAAACTTGGTAGGAAGAGCTTGAAATGTGTCTCTCACCAAAAGATTTTCAGGTGGAAATGCAATAACATGTTAATTAGAAAAGTCTTTACACAGCAAAAGGCTCCCAATGAACAATTACTCTGTGTTTCACACTAGCCTTTTCTAACACAATCTTTACATGGGGAAAAGAAAATATGGAAGAAAGAACAACAGCATAGAAAACATGATATAAAATGTTGTATTTGAGTACTTCCCAAGCAGTGATTAAACCCTTCTGCAGAAATCTGCCTCAGACCTTGATCACCAAGCAGAACAGAATTAGAAAAACCTGACAGATGATACAGTCACTCTGTCCTGGTAAAAAACCTGCAAGATCTGGTAAAAATTTTAAATGACAGATTATTAGAGAACCATGACCCAATACACAAGATTAGTATTGTATCAAGTAAAAAATAAAATTCAGGCACTTCTTAATACATCCTCAATACAGGTCTTTTCCTCTAAGCAGGGAAGCTCATATGTGACGTTTCATACTGAAGATGCTGTTTCAGGACAACAGACTGGATCAGCTGGGCTGACTGAGGGCATAAAAATGGGAAAATTCACTAATATAAATACATATTGAGGATATAAAGCAGCTTTGAGCCCTGTCATTAGCACAGAAAGCCTCACAGCATTCCCAGTGCCAGCTCTGCAGCCTGTGCCCACAGTGCCAAATGTAGAAATGCAGTTTATGACCATCCATAAATGCCTGCCCAGAACCAAAGAGGGGCTGGGGAGCACAGGCAGCTCTTAACAGCCCCTGGACAAAGCACAGCACTTCTCATTGCTAAACCAACATCTGTGTTTAGAGTTAAGGGGATGAAATAATGCCAGGTTGGACGGGGCTTGGAGCAACCTGGTCTAGTGGAAGGTGCCCCTGCCCATGGTAGGGGTTGGGACTGGATGGGATTTAAGGTCCTTTCCAGCCAAAACCACTCTGTGGTTCTCTAACTCTTCCCAGAATCAGTGACTAGAACAGCCAATGCTCTCCACATGTCCTTTTACAACAATGATGAAAGAAACTCAGAGGTTAAAATAGATTTGTGCACGTATTCCTCCACAGCATTTTGTAAATAAATATCAAATATAAGACATACATTTCTTTCAAAACCATGTACAAAATACATCATACATGACTGAGAGATGTGAAATATTTACAGCTGTAACATTAGTTAAAGGCTTGACCTTGCTTTTCTGAAA